AAAAATTCGGAGAGCAATGGGAATCGATTGGTGAGGTTAACGGATTCGTTGCTAGAGAATTGTGGTGAGGAAGAGACTGTGGACAGAATGCAGAGATTGTGAGAAACAGTGTGGTTGATGAGGAGGAGAAGTGCTTTGAAAAGTTTTCGCAATAAGCCACTTGCTGTTTGCAGTAGAAATGAATGAAGATCAGAGTTTGGAATTGGACAGTCGAGATCATACTTCACAGAATCATTTCTGTAGTATGTATTTCTTCGTTATCAGCGAAAATGCGACGGAGCGCAGCCGCGATGATGTGGCATGGCGTCATCTCCAGAGCGGGAAGAAGCGTTTCGTCCGTGCTCTTTGAGTCAGGGACGTTACGTTTGATGACTGCGTGGAGGACCTTGAATTAGGTCTCCTAGTAGGAGTTGACGCGTGCTGAGCGGTCCCATTCAAAGCAAAATTATGAGCGGGTGGTGGTTTGTAATACGCTTTTTTTTGTGTGAATGGACTGAAATATTTCGAGCTGAAGTTAAGCTATAAAAGTAAATGACGCAATTCACATATTGCTTCATTTTGGTGGCAATAATATTCATTTGGTTGCGATGTGAAGGAGAAAAGGGTTGAATTGAATAAAGTTTCATCTTTAAATAAAATTGATAAGAAAAATATTCAGTGAATGATTGTTAAATTTCTTTTGGAGATTATCTAAAATCTTATAATCACTGTAAACAGACGTATCACTTTGGTGAAGCATTCGAGCGGACGAAAATTTGAGAGTTTTTTTAACAACTATCGAAAAAACATTTCACAAACATTTCAAAGAAAGATTGATGCGAAGCCAACATGTTGAGGTTATTTAAAATATTCCGATAAAATTACTCAAAACTTGCTTCCTTTCTCTTTCACCTTCATCTGTCTTTGTCTCTTCTCCTCTCTCTCTCTCTCTCTCTCTCTCTCTCTTGCACTTCATGTATTTCTCTGATTATTACAATATTTTAATACTTGATTTTATTAATATGCATTTTCTTACATTTCCATGATGCATTCATTCATTTCATCTGATCAAAGAAAAAAAAAGCAAATCAAACCGAGAAATAGCAAAAGGACGAAATCAGAACATCGTATACATTATATACAATGCTTAAATTACGATATCATCTGATTACAATATGTACATTTAATCTATCTTAAGCCTAAATAAACTTTGTCAATCTATTATTGTTACTACTAATACATCACTAATTATATTGAAGTAAATAATTTCTGATTGAATAAATTCTTGATTTAAATTCTTAGAAGAACCGATATTTATCAGTTGTAGAATGGCAAAGCATAAATATAGCATATACTAATTATGCCATAATTTACGATACAATTATGATGCCACATAAATTACAATTTTCTTTTTGTAATTTTACAAATAACAGTTAAAAATTGTCTTTCTTCATTGAATATTTTTCTTCTTTTTTAAATCAAGAATTTTTCACTTTTATCAAATTACTCTCTTCTTCTCCTTCAGTGAAGCATTCAGTATTACATTCTTGCTCACCAAATACAGCATCTGCGAGAAACCATCCTATCAATGGTGATAACCAATACACAGTAAGATGACCAAGATGTGTCACACCTGTACAATTAAATGTACATGCCCAAGCAACAATTGGATTTGCATACATGCCCGTATAATTAATACCTAAAAAAAATTTTAAAATAACATTTCTATTTTTTCTTACTTCATTTTTAACGAATTTTAAAAGAAATTTTTTTTCTTGAAATTTTCAAAAATAAATTTTTTGTTTATAAAACTTTATTGAAATGCTAATATTTTATAATGATAAAATATAATTTGTAAATGGATTAAACAATATAATTAATCGACAGTAACTCGTATTCAGAATTTTTCTTTCTGGAATGCACTGCAATTTTTACATCTGTTCATTCATTTAATTTTAATTTTTCCAGTATAAAATAATTTGGATTTTACTTCTTATCAAAATAAACATACCAATTGTAGTTAGAAAACCAGCAAACATGCAATTGATAAGCATTTGCGCTCTTGATTTTGCATACCATTCGTTAGCGAAGAATTCTACTGCTTTGCTACTAAATGTTGCTAAACCTTCGATGAGTGAACCGGCTGTTAAAGCTACCTGAGTCATCCGTATTACCGGCTAATTCGAATTTCTCCAATTTTTCTTTATTTTTACTATCAAATTTATTAAGTTTTATTTAATTTTTTAGTTTTACTTTAAATCATTCTTTCTTATTTCTTCTACACTTTCCTTTTATCAATTATTAAATTAAAAGCATGATTAGCTGGATAATTTAACATTATTTTCATAAATAAATGACCGAATTTAAAACATCAAAATTAATCATTTTAATGTTAAATTTTTGCTAAATTTTCAATCATTCGTTTAATAACTTGCTGTAAGATCAGCTTCGCAATGATCTACAATTAACAATTGATCATGCATTGGATGAAGACGAAGTTTCCAGAATGTTCGAGCAAAGAAATAGGATAAATATGCGGCTGCAAGTTGTACACCAAAAACCAAAAATGCTGTACGTAATGCTAAACGCTTACGTGAAGCTGTTGTTACCTACAATAAATTGTTTATCTGTAAAAAGCAAACTTCATATTTTATACAAATTACAAAAAAAAGGATTTTTTTAAATTATTTGACGTTACTATAGTTATGTCAGTATATATGTATGCAAAAGCAATAAGAGTAAATATTATGAATTGATCAATTAATTAGGTGTGACAGAAATATTGATCATAATTGTTAAAAATGGAAAAAATTTTTCTTTAAAACGAAATACCAATGGACATGGATGAGCGATAGCATCACGTAGGAAAAGAGTATTAGCAATTTCAATTGCTGTTATTTCGATAAAAATTCCAAATAAACCATAAGTTTGCAAAATCAAATTGACATCAAACATGGGTGTACAGACTTGTAATGTACCAATGAACTAAACTATAATAATTTACCCAAATATTTTGAATTAAAATTTATATGATATCAAAATTTAAAAGTTTAAAATTTAAAAACTAGAATTGATATTTAAGCGTTTCTTTTTTTTTCAGAACAGATAAAAAGTTGTATAATAAATTTTGAAAGAAAAAGAAAACAAAAAATAAGTAATCAATACTTCAAGAAGTAAACCAATCATAAAACGTGGTAAACGTCGTATCAGCCAATGGTTGATAATATGACGCAGTAATTCGCAAATAGCAAATACCGATAAATAAAAGAGTAATGATGCAATCCATACTCTCATCAGTGGCATTTACAAATTTTTTTTTTAACAGTTATTAATAGGTTTAAACAATGATGCAAATTTACTGAAATAATTCGAATTTCATTTTTTTTTTAAAAATTACAAAAAAAATCAATAAAAATTTATAATCAATTTTTATCATTGACAATTTATTTAATAATATTTAATTCAAAAAAGTTAACCAAGATAAATCAATTATATTCCTACGAATATTTCCTTAATGATAATTTCAAAAAAATAGGAATAAAAATGGGAGAAAAAAAATAGGAGTATGAAATTATTGTGGAAACTTATAAATTTTAAATTTTTTAAATCAAATATAAGTGACTAAATTTACACCAAATACATTCATTTCATTGCTAAAACTTTTTTTTTTTACATTATCATTGTCAAACGAACGTTTCAGTGCTTAGTAAATTTTCAAAAGTATAAAAATACGTGAAGTCGAAAACAAATAATAAAAAGTGGAAAAATGTTTATAAAAAATATCCGAAATACATTATCCAATCGAAAGCGAGTGAAAAAAAAAACAGAAAATGATGAACGCTCATTTGATATGTTTCACTTCAAACAACTTAACTTTTAACTTTAACTGCCCTTTCTTTTTTTCTCGAAACTTTCAAACAAAGATTTCATTTCTTTTTCTCTCGTTAGATGATTGAGCAAAAAAAGTTTTCTTTTTGAATATTTTTCATTTTGTTTTCATTTGTTTTTAACCGAGCAAATATTAATACGAAGAATGAATGGATAAACGATTATTAAATTATTATTTGGGATGAATTGAATTATTATTTAAAATAATACATCATTGATTTATTCTTTTTTTCAATTCTAATTTTTATTTTCATCTTGAAGTTTATTAAAATATAACTGGAGATATTGTTATAAAAATGATAAAATTTGAAAGAAGAGAAAATATTCAATTTTAAAAATCTAAATAAGCGATGACATTTGTTTTTACATTATTTTCGATTATTTATCCTTTTCTAAGTATATATATACACCACTATTCAACAAGTGGGATTTTTCTTTGCCTACCAAAAAAACATACTGATTTTTCAAAATCAATATGTTTTTTCTTTTTCATATTTCTTTTTGTTTGTTAACAATATTTTTGTTCATAATGTTAAATGAATGCGATAATATTTGAATTTATAATACAATTGATGATAAAAACTTGATAAAAATTGAAATAAAATTTAAATGAGAATGCGGTGATAATAAAGGATTATTAAATGATGTTAAACAATTATTGAGCAATGTTAATGATATGAATACAAAAAAAAGAGAAAAAAAAAGAAAAGGAAGAAAAGAAAGAAAAATATTAATTAATAATTGTTGTTAGAAATAATAGAAGTTATTATTGTCGCATAATACATGTTTGTAATATTTGTGTTAGAAAAATTGGTTTAAGGAAAAAAAAAAGTTTGAAAGCTGATAAAATCAATCAATAGAAGTACGAAAAGTAAGTGCTGGAAACAGTTGATGAGTGATAAAATAAAGTAACTTGATGAGAGGGAAAAAGAATGCGAAATTTTTCAAACTGAAAAGAAAAAAAAAGTTTGTTGTGAGATTTTTAAAATTAATAAAAACAAGCAAGAATGTATAATAAAGAATGAATTCTTTATTATATACTCTTGTGTGTTTTTATCAATTTTAAAAATTTCACAAAAATAAATAAATGTGTGGAAATGGAAATATAATTTTAAGAACTTTAAAATTTTCTCAACAAAGGATAAATTATATAACAATTTTTCACCAGTTAAGTCTATTGATTAGCAATGATAATGAAAAATATATGGTAGAAACCAATGAATATAAATAGAAAATGATAAAATGAAATTATGAAAATAAAATATTTCCTGAAAGAAATAAGATAAGGCGAAAATAAATTTTATAATTTTTTTTTAGACTAATTTTATGATATAAATTTAAAGGTTTTTGTAATTTTTAAAATTAAAGCATAAATGAAATAAATGGTATTCATCTATAAAATTCTCCTTTTTTGTTAGCTTTCAATTTTTTTTTTCTTCATTTTTTTTTCTATCTAATTTACATAATAATTATGTGTTATGATTTTGAAAATTTTGCATAATTTCATTTTTTTTAATTTAAATTTAAATTCTTAATCTAATTACATTTTCATTGTAAAAAAGAGTGCAAAAAAAAACAAACAAACAAAAATAAACTTGACAGTATTGTGAATGGATTATACAAATCAAAAAATTTATATATGGGATTATTTTAGTGCACCAATTGCACTTATATGGTTTCTTACAACAGCATGGTTTTTTGCAATTATCATTTCGCAGTACTTCCTTGTACCATTAGATCAACCAGTTGTACAGGTAAGATTTGAAATGATTGTATAAGTAAGTATTAAAGTAAGTAGAAGAGGTTTTTTTTTTTCTTTTGAGAGAATGAATTAATTTTAATTCGTGGAGAATTTTTTCATTATGATATTATTGGAATTCATTGAGTAGGAAATTGAATAGTTTGAAATTGATTAAAATAAGCTTAATTTTCATGATTAATTAAGTGATCAGAAACAAAGTTTAAAAGCAAAGGCTTATTAAATCGTTTTCCTTTTGTTCATAATTTTTTTCAGTTTTGCAAAATTAAATGGCTAAATAAATATTATTTAATGAATTCTATTTTTAAATACCATTAATTTGTAATATAATTTATTCGATATAGTCCAATGCATACTTCGCCATTAGTCTATGTAAATATCATATAGTTCGAACAAATTACTACGAATTAATTAATAATTAATAACAAATTCAATTTAAATTATCGATTGTCTAGATTGCTTTATGCGTGACAGTTTTCCCTTTCTTCATACTTTCCAATTTCTAGCTATAACTATCAAAACATGGAACAATTAAACGAAGTTTTCAATTCCGGATAAACGATTATCAAAGTTTTTTTTTCGACAAATAATCTCGAAGTTCTTCCTCAGTTTTTTTTCAGCCACCATTCGGAGGACCATGCCGAGAAACGGTGCTACCGAAAAAAAGAGACTAACAGTGACGTAATGATGACTTCCAAATCATATATCATTTTGTGCAATCCAAAAAACGGCCAAAAAGTAATAAACGATTCAATAAAACATAAAATGATGTGTTAAAGAGACTTAATTACTTGAATCATAATTTAAGGAAATAGGAGCCTCGGAAATCACCAGGTTATTTCATGACAATCTTTAAAAGAGTGAACTTTATTTATATCTGTCATGTTTCCAGTTAAGGCATATCACTTAAATTAGCCATTATTTTAACTCAGTAGCTTATTTGTGCCTTTCATATTCTGTTCATCACCGACAAATTCAATGTAATCTTTAAATGCAAAAGAATAGGTAAATACTGCAATAAATGAGCAAAAATTCACCAGTTCTCATAATGCATGTACCTCGTGACATGAATCTATTAATACAAAGAAAACTTCAAAAATTTTACAACTTGAAAACCAATTCAAAACTTTTATAAGAAAAAAAAACATATCCAATGTAAGATTAACAACGACTAAAATCATAAGTTAACGACCAAATTTATAGACTGCTGTTTCCTAGATTAAAAAAGTAATTTCATTACTTGAATTTTGATAAATTTGCGAACTTAACGAGCAATCTTATTGCATAGTTATTAATAAAAAACAAAATATGATCGATTTCATATCAAAACACAGGAAGAAAAATAAAGACCTTCTGGAATCATCAATCACTGTTTACCCATTGCTTTTTTTATTAACAATTAAATAAAATACCACATGCCAGCATTATTATTTATTTTCGCCTTCTTCAGAAGCCTTTTTGAGCTTTGCGCTAACTTCGCGATGTGAACCATCACAAAATGGGCGCGTTCTCGTTTGTTTACAATTACAGAACCATACCTGAAAACTTGCAATATCTCTACAATAACTTTCATTGTATTTAAATGCTTGCAATCTTCGTTACAATAAACTTCGGCCAGAAAATTAGACATTTATGAAACACTAGTCTAGGAAAAATTAAACTGTCTTTTGAAATCCACAAAATTAACCTCCATATCTTTATCAGGAATGAATCGTACAGGTCGTAGCTTTGTTGGAATGTAATAATGAAGGTGACTCCCATCACATAAAGGCTGAAATGCATTAATTTAGAAGAATCAAAAAAATAATCGATACCAAAAAATATATAAATGATATTCAGAACTTATGTTTTTTTTTTTTTCAAATACTGTCACATTATTTCAATTAATATAGCTAGACATATTTGTAGACAACCTATGGCCTGCATTTCTTGAAGTAGTTGAAAGTATTTAAATCAATTCGCCGTTCTTGGACTCTCGTTGTGAGTTTATGTCATTCACAATATATGCAAAATATCTCTTCCAGTAAGCTCTAATTTCAATATCCCCTATAATATTTCATTCAAAAGGAACCTGAAATTTAAAAAAAAACATGGAATAATAAAACGGAGATTTAATAATACCTGAGTTCCACTATACCCGCATGAACACCAAGTATAAATCTTATCTTTTTTTAGAACTGTTCGAGTCGGCAATGTTGAACTGACTTTGCCGGTACCCGGGAGCAGATGATGCGTTCCTTGCAACCCGTATTTATGCAATGGTTTTTTATCTTGCAACTGGAAAAAATCAATTTTATAAAAAAAGTTGGAAATTTGAAGTAAAATTTTGCAATTGAGAAATACCAAGCAAAAATAAAGTTACAAAAGATAAGATAAACAGGCTGTATAGACAAAAATAAACACGGAATAAATATTCAATTTATGCCACATTTACGTCTTTTTACATATCATATCATGAAAAAAGAGGCAAACAAAAAAATTTTGTTTCGCCATGAAGAATATTTATTATATA